GTAGAAGTGCTTTTAAAAAATATAACAAAGGTTTATCACTTGTCGAAAATATTGTTAAGCTTCAAAAAGAAGTCGAAAAAACAAATAGTGAATATTTTAAATTAAACAAGAAATATATTGCTCTAAAAGAGAAATATGAGCTAGCCGATGATTAATTTTTTAAAAAAAAATTGTTTTTTTTTATTAGTTTTTTTGTTGTTTTTTGGGTAGTTTTTGTTTTTTTTCTAGTTTTTTGTTTGTTTTGTTTTTTTTTGTTTTTTTTTTTTAATATATTTTTTTTATAATTTATATTTTAGTTTTTAATAAAATATTTATTAAAATAAATAAAAAATATATCTTGATAAACTAATTGAAGTTAAAAAGTGTATGATGCGATTGCCTTGGGCCACATCGATGATGAAAATTTAACTTTCAGCCAAATTTTGCCTGGCGCAAATCGGGCAAACATATCTAATTTGTAGTATTCAGTTAGTTAGTAGACTCGCTGCATCTTCTACTGTGTGTTCATGCAGACTAACGCTTAGCTCTCACCCACCAAACTCTAGAGCCATTTGTGCTCTTTATTACTTGTAATTAATTTTGAATTTTGATTTGTACCAAAACTTTAATTGTTAAATCTATAAAAATAAATAAAGATCATGAAGGAGAAATATAAAAAAAAATAATTTTGAAACAAATGGAACCTAGAATCACAGGCGGAGAAATTGTGATAGCAGAAAACTCTAGATTACAAGTACGAATTTATGAATTGCAACACAGAATTAATGCTCTGAATGCTGATAAAGATGAATTGATTCGTGAAAATACACAACTAAGAAATAGAAATGAAGAGATTACAAATGAAAAGAATCAACTTGAAACAGATAACATTCAAATTCGTGCAGCAAATGAAAATCTGACACAATTAAATACTGCATTACGAACTGTTTTAAGAGATGCAGAAGATGAGAAAGATCATTATAAAGCTGCAAATATTAAAGAATTTGATGATTTTATTTCAAATTATATTTTTGGATTGTTTAACAATATCGGAATGTGGTTACGATTTGATAGCCAATACATGACAAATATTGCGAATTTTTTGAGATTTTATAGCTTTTTCCAGATTCTAATTATTTTTCATTATATTAAGATAATTTATAGAAAGGTTCTTTGGCCTGTGTTTGTTATTCCATATGTAAATTTAACAGAAATGAAAAGAATTCATGTCATTGAAGTTTTGTTTGTTAATATTATCAGTATTTATATTGGATTATATTTAATTTTTTTTGTATTTGCAAGAATAGAAAAAGAAGTTGTTATATTATTTTTTAATAATGAATAATCACTCAACTTAATTTGAGTATATTCAGTTATGTGTCCATCATTGTCAAGAAACATAATTGGTCTTCGATAATTTGTATTTTCATTCTCTCTGAACCACGTGAGATTTGTATGTTCTTTTTTAACTTTTTCAGAATCAGAAATACTCGAATGAGATATTTTAAATTACACAAAGAAAAATCTAATCGGTTTTAAAAACTGATTAGAAACTTTAATAAAGTTTGCTTGTTTTTACGTTGATTCGCGAACACGAATCGTCAATACATACGATGTATGAATCGATGATACGATTCGATCCTAGTCTCATCCCGAATCGTGTAACAAACGCAGCAAACCAAATATTTTTCCACCCCAGTAATTTATTACCCTTGCTTAATTTAACTTCCGTGTTTGAAATGTCCTGCAAGCAGGGTTTTGCATTGTGTTTTTTTTTTTCTTTTTCTTTTTTTTTTTCTTCAGAAATTTTGAAGATCATCCTATAAACACCATCTTGGCTGAAGCCTGTGACGTTTTTAAGATATGATCCTCAAAATTTGGATTACTGAAAAATTTTACGAGACTTATTTTTATAATTTAATTTAAAAAAAAAAGTTATTTATGAAATTTTATTAATATAAAAAAATTAATTTCTCTTTCTTTTAGATTTATGGATATATTCTATTACATTTTTTCTATTTTTGATTATCTCATTAATTCGTAAACAAATATCTTTAGGCGCTTTCAATTTGGTCTTTTCTCTTCCAGTTGTCCAATCATTCTTTAACCATTTGTCGATTCTATTTTCAATAAACATCAAATATATATTTTTGTTCTTTGTTTCAATTATTAGTTTATCTTTGTCTTTATCAGCTTCTAATATTTGTAATATACAGATAAATTCATCAATATAAGAATC